TTAAGGAGACCGTGCGTTTTCAATTTGCCAACACGGATAGTGTCCATTTAGTTTTTACTACATATTCTAATACACTGAATCAGGGTTGGTGGCAGTAAACTGAAAAATCTATCTTGTGTCTGTTTTGATCCAGCTCCACGAGCTAACCGACCGTACTGACTGAAGGGAAAATGCAGAGAGAGTCTTAGGGAAAATTTCCATTTCCCTGGTCTTAGTCACTCTGTGCCAGACAGAGGCAAGTTCGTGCAGCCCAAAAGTCGTTCAATATTCAGTGATTTCTCAAGACTGTAAAGATGGTGTTAGGTTTGGTCTGATTTTTGAAAGCTCTGCAGACCTGTCACAGCAGTTGGGAGGCAGCTAACCGTAACTGGGTACAGTACGGTTGTGTGCAGATTAGAAGATTTGGTTGCAGCTGTGGAGGTTCAAGAAGCTGCACACCTTTTCCCCTTTGTGCTAGCCTGCCCTGTGAGGAGGGATAAGGGCCGTTACGGGGACTCTGTGTACCCATGAATCCCTTTATGCATCAGGAATTCCTCCTGTGGTTGCCTCCATTGATTTTTAGATCATATACCCCCAGATCAGGGTTGAAATAATCAAACCTAAGCATCTTAAAAATATTGATATGTTTTGCATGGGGCTTCTTTATTAATTGCTGAGAGATTTACTGTGTTTAGCATCAGGTAGCGAGAATTTGGGTTCATTTCAAAGCTTTGATACTCAGCAGGGTGTGATGCTATTATTTCTGCATCGTGTTATTCTCAGAGTAGATTTCAGGTCTTTTTACGCCTGAGAAGCACTGAGCATCACAGGTGATGTTAGGACTGCAAATTTGGCTTGCAGTTTAGGGCTGGCAGGAGAAGGATTATACCATCTGGTCTCGAGAAGTGCTTAGCATCTCCAGCAAGACATTGGATAAACTCCAGTGAAGGTCACTGGAGAGTTGATGCTGCTGAACATTGCACCAGGATTGCCCACTGAGTATCGTCCGGTGTGCATATAATACAAATAATGTCTGTGGTCTTATCTAGATGGTGGAAACTTGTCAGCATTGCCAGAATACACATGCAGCCCCATGTGTGCTGGCTACAGTGAATGCTAGAATAGTGGGGTCAAACCAAGTTTTACCTCCTGATCTTTCACAGGTAAGAAAAGACTATACAATGTAATGATAAATGCCTCAGTTGTGGTCTTATTATCCCTAGTGCGGTTGAAAGATTTCATTAGTACTTGAGCGGCTTAGCAAACTCCCCACTGTAGAAAGAGTATTCCATGCATTTTTTGCTTGTTTTCTCCTGCAGATGAGTAGCTTGGTTCCAGGCTATTAAATCTGTAAAGCTGTCTGGTAAGCATTACTGATCAGAAAGTGCAAAAGCAGTCCTATGTTTGTTACTTTTACGTTTGTCTTTTTTTAACTCATAATCATCTGAGTGAACTGGATATGATTTTTAAAATTGTATAGAAGAAAATTTATCTCATCCCAAAAAATCATTCTGCGTAACAAACTCTCAAAACCAGTTCTAGAGTATGAGGGGCAGACTTTTTTGCTATAGTTTGAGAAAACAGCAGAGGTGCCTTTTAGTGGCACTACAGTATGCTTTGTGGTACGCTGCGACACAGGAAAAGGGTCAACAAGTGAAAAGTTCTATGAAGAGGTGATCAAACAGAAAAATTCTTGAACAAACAAATTTTGTACATGAAGATGGCTGAATCACTCACTGGTCCTCTCTGACATTTGTTAGTATGTCAAAACAAGCAACATGCAGATAGTTTTAATAGTGTCCATTCATGGGCATAACATGAATATTAACTTATAAGAGTCTGGGTTGCTATTTTTTGTTTTGCCATATTTTTATTTGAACTTTTTTTTTCCTTTTTCTTTTTCGCTTTGATACCTTTTTTCATTAAAAGCAATAAATTGTTTAATGTTGAAAATGTACCTCTGAAAAAAACTCTCAAATATTTATTATTTGTAGCTAGATATACTGCTTGATATATGGCATTCTTTGTTCAGTATGAGTATTGCCTCAGTGCCCTAACATATTGTTATGGGACACTGTAATTTTACAGATGTCATATGTCGGCTGAGATGTGCAAGTGCGATCTTAACCTCTGGTGATCAGAAATTGTCTCATGGTGTTTTTCATAAGAAAAGACATCATACCAGTTCCAGCTAGGCCTAATTCACTTACCCAAATCATCCTGCTAATTGAATTGTGCATGTTCTTCATTGCTTTCTGCTATAAAATGGTGTTGCTAAACACCGTCATTTGTTGGTGAATAATACAAGCTCTGTGGATGGTTTGTTGTAATTCAAATAGAGCACAATAGAAAGTAGTGCCTAGTCATTGCATAGCCACAGCTATTGCTGTAATTAAAATGTTGCTGTCCTGACTATTAAAGGAGCTTTTACACCAAAGACATTGATAGAAAGGAGAAAAATAGATTTTTCATTTTATGTCAAACCCATAAAAATATTTTTTTCACTCTGTAGTTTCTGCTTTTTTTGTCATGGGAAACTTTTTAATTTATCTCTTATCTCCTGAGAAGTTGTAGGGTGCACAAGAAGTTGCAGCTCAGCATTTCGGAACCTCATCATATCTGGAGAGATGCTGAGCTCAGCAGGGTGAATAGAAGGCATTTAGGTAATCAAATAGAAATATAGTTTAACTATACCTTAGTTATTTTACCAGTGGGTGGTATTGGCAAGAATCTGGTGCAAGGAGAAGTTTGCAGTGCTAACAGAATTGAAAAGGGGCTTTTCAAAGGTATTATATAGAATAGTATAATCAATGGTAAAGCGTAGGAGGAAGCTGCACCTCTGTAAGTTTAAGGCTTTATAAATTTCCTGATTCAAAAAGAAAAACAAAATAACCTTCCACATTCACACACCATTTCTGAAGTATGATAACTGATGCACCAACCTGGAGAAGAATCATTTTGTTTGTAGACTGGATCTGTAAGTAGTTGAATTTATTTTTCAAGGAAAAAGTGAGTCTAACTATTTTTTCTGTCTTTTCTGGATTTCCCCTTGTCCTGTTGCTGGGCACCACTGAAAAGAGTCTGGCCCTATCCTCCTGACACCCACCCTTAAGATATTTATAGGCATTTATAAGATCCCCTCTCAGTCTGCTCTTCGTCAGGCTGAACAAGCCCAGCTCCCTCAGCCTTTCCTTGTAGGAGAGATGCTCCAGTCCCCTCACCATCTTCGCAGCCCTCTCTGGAGTGTCTCCAGTAGTTCCTCATCTTTCTGGAACTGGTGAGCCTGGAACTGGACGCAGTATTCCAAATGGGGCCTCACTAGGGCAGAGTAGAGGGGAAGGAGAACCTCCCTTGACCTGCTGGCCACACTCTTCTTAGTGCACCCCAGAATACCATTGGCCTTCTTGGCAGCCAGGGCACACTGCTGGCTCATGGTTAACCTGTCGTCCACCAGGACACCCAGGTCCCTCTCCACACAGCTGCTCTCCAGCAGGTCAGCCCCAGCCTGTACCAGTGCATGGGGTTATTCCTCCCCAGGTGCAGGACCCTGCATTTGCCCTTGTTGAACTTCATCAGGTTCCTCTCTTCCCAACTTTCCAGCCTGTCCAGGTCTTGCTGAATGGCAGCACAGCCTGTCGGTGTATCCACCACTCCTCCCAGTTTTGTATCATCAGCAAACTTGCTGAGAAAGAGAACAATTGGTATCAGCAGGCAAATAGTGCACAGGATTGTTATATACAGCATCGTTGACCATTGTGCTCGGTTCCTTTAGGATTATGAATGTATTTTATTTCCCACTGTATGCAACTGGATCCTTTTAGACAGAGCTGGATTCTCCCCTGACTGGTGCAGGGAAATGCATGTTTCTCAGCAGCGCAAAGGATCCTTCTACCAGAGAATAATCTCACAGGGAGATGGTGTTGGCTGTATCACTGCCCTGCCTCAGGGCCTGCGGTTTACCTGGGGAGCATAAAAACTGGGAACAGCTGCAAGTGGGATGTTATGTATTAACATACTCTCATACTTGCTTTCCTCTCTTCTGCTGCTTTCTTGATGATTTGTATCGAGTGTTGACAGTGGGATGGTTGCAGTTGTTTTCCTCTGCTACCACTTGCCCACTAATGAACTTTCTACTATCGTCAACTACAAGATTTTTGCTGGATGTGCTAGTACGCTCTGATCCCAGCACATCCTGCTCTAAAGGCAGGGGTTTCTTTTCTGTGCACTCTGGCTACACAGCAGATGAGCAGACACCAAAGAAGATTGCTCATATGGTGGTGCATACACGTGTTTGTGTGGTGCTGTTCTTAAGCTTATATGCTTTTTTTCTCACTACAACCTTGCAGTCCAAGTAGTTTTAAATTGCATTTATTCAATTATGTTCTCAAAACAGAACAAACCTAGCGACCGGATCTATGTGTGAGTTTGTCTGCATAAGAGTTTGTCTACAGTGTACACTTGGCAGAGATGTAACCGCAATACACTGCAAGCTGGAAGCCTGTGGGTGGGACACAGAAAAAAAGGTGTGCTTACAGATGTACACTCAAGTCGGCTGATGGGAACTCATTGACACTGTGGTATGTAGCTTGCCTGCCACAAAGGCTAAGGCCACATGTCTGGGTAGACACATCTTGGTGTGGCTTGGCCTCATTAGGGTTAATATCAAATGGACAAGACTGAGGCTGGGTTTCACTGCTTGACTCTGCTTTCCCATCTGTAAGTTACCACCTGGGGTATCTGCTTACTTACCTCTCTTGTCACATGTTAAACATTCATTATGCACTAGTCTTAAAATATGTTGAGTAACAAAGGTAACAGACTGATTAAACCAATACTTTACTTATATAACATTGCTATGTCACTTTTGGGCATCTGTCTCCCCTCTGTATTTGGTATCTTAAGGATTACAAGGAATTAATTCCTTTACAGTTGCATTTGACTTGCTGTGTTTTAAAAGAGTGACTGAATTATGTATCTCTTTAGTGAAATGTTTGGTGCATCTCCTTTTGTTGTTGTTGCAGCAATCACTGAAAAGAAGAGGGAGCAAAGATCTACCAAAATCAGAAAAAAAGTCACAGCAGACACCAACAGAGGTAAGTTGTAAGAACAGTAGCCTGAATTCTCATGTGGAGGCTTCAGGGACACTACGGAAACGATGTATGTCATTTGTAGATTTGCACTTTGCTTGCTTATTTACTTTGCTCTTTGTCTTCCTATATGCTGTGAAATAATGGAGAGCTCTTACCCCAGATCTGCAGTCAAACAACACTACATCAAGGCCCACCTAAACACACCACTGGTGCTGCAACAGAATTCACCAGCTGTCACATGCTCTATACTTTAGGTAAAATAAGTAAATGGGAGCGCCAGTGAAACAAGATTATAGGCGCTTTGTATGATGATTTCGGGATTTTTGAACACTGTGAATTCTGTTATAGTGCTGCAAGCCTAGCGAATATAAGGATTTTTTGCAAGTCCCCCACCCCCACAACGTGTTTTCCAGGGACTGTGCAAACTATAGTCACAAGTAAAATAGTCTTTTTCCCCTCTTTTAAATTTAAGTATTTATTTTCATCTCTTTAATTTATTAATCAGTGAAAAAATGATTGCAGGAAAATCTATTAGTATCTAAAGATAAATATCTGTAATTGTTAATCTTGTAATTTAGGACCATCCACTGGAAGTCTCCTGTTTTACATCAAGTTTCTTTAAATGCTTCCTTTTCTTTTTTCTAAGGACGACAATGAAGACCTGAAATGCCAGCTACAGTTTGTCAAAGAAGAAGCAGCCTTGATGAGGAAGAAAATGGCAAAGATCGATAAGGAGAAAGACAGATTTGAACACGAGCTGCAAAAATACAGATCATTTTATGGGGATTTGGACAGTCCCTTGCCAAAAGGTGAAGCAGGTGGGCCACCTACCACAAGAGAAGCTGAACTCAAGCTTCGATTGAGACTTGTGGAGGAGGAAGCTAACATTCTTGGGAGGAAAATAGTTGAACTAGAAGTAGAAAACAGAGGACTGAAAGCAGAGCTCGATGATTTAAGAGGAGATGATTTCTCAGGGACGGCTAATCCGCTCCTGGGAGAGCAGAGTGAATCTTTGTCAGAACTACGACAGCATTTGCAGCTAGTAGAAGATGAGACAGAACTGCTGAGGAGAAATTTAGCTGATTTGGAAGAACAAAACAAGCGCATAACAGCTGAGCTGAACAAATACAAGTACAAGTCTGGGTCCCATGAGAGCTCCAGGCACCATGATAATGCCAAGACAGAGGCGTTACAGGAGGAGCTAAAAGCTGCACGAATGCAGATCAATGAGCTGAGTGGCAAAGTCATGCAACTCCAGTATGAGAACAGAGTCTTAATGTCCAACATGCAACGCTATGACTTGGCCTCTCATCTTGGGATCCGCGGCAGTCCCAGAGACAGTGATGCAGAAAGTGATGCAGGAAAAAAAGAGAGTGATGATGATTCCCGCCCCCCTCACCGCAAAAGGGAAGGCCCCATTGGTGGAGAAAGTGACTCCGAAGAGGTACGTAACATTCGGTGCCTAACACCCACGAGGTCTTTTTATCCGACACCATCTGGGTGGCAGAAGAACTTCACTGATCGGCAGCAGATGAAGGACATCCGCTCTGAAGCGGAGCGGCTGGGCAAGACAATAGACCGCCTAATTTCTGACACGAGCACCATCATAACAGAGGCAAGAATTTATGTAGCTAATGGGGACCTCTTTGGACTGATGGATGAGGAAGATGATGGCAGCAGAATACGCGAGCATGAGCTTCTTTACCGGATCAACGCACAGATGAAGGCCTTCAGGAAAGAGCTCCAGGCTTTCATCGACAGACTCGAAGTTCCAAAGTCTTCGGATGATCGAAGTGCAGATGAACCTTTGTCAGTGAGTCAGGTAGACTTTTACTTATTACGGCCTACAGGTAAAAACGCTCTGCCAAATGAATTAAGCCTCAAATTCGATGTATGGCACATGAAAATTCTTTATTCAGACAGTGGACAAAAATAACTGTTTCTTAAATTATTTTAAATCCTCATTTGGCCATATGAAACCTTGTTCTACCAAGAAGGCTGTTTGTGAACAGTGAATAAGTCTGGTCTCCTGGAAATTAAAAGAATTATGCTCTAGGAGGTAGAAGACTTTATTCCTTTCTGGCATTGCAATTGCATTTCCCAGAGTTATGCCTTCATCACCAGTAAAGGCAGTGCAGACAGCATTTTTGGCACATAAATGACCATGATTGTTTTCTTAGTGGTTGAGTTCCTGTTAAATGAATAAAAAGAAAATCTTATTAAACAGGAAGAAACATTAAATTTCCAAAATTATAGAGAATATGACTAACCGCAGCGAAAAATAAACCATGCAAATCTACTTTACAGAGTTACAGAGCCACACCATAGTGTGAATATTGAAAGTACTATAATTGATTGTATCTTATGTTGAAGGTGTATGGGTCACTGCTTACATGCAGCATCTTTTCTGTAGTTCATTTTTATGCAGAATTGTTCCAGAGAGGTTTTGAGGAGCAAATTCCTTGCTGACTCAAGATCTTTTGCCGTGAAAAATGAAAATTACCTACCCTTATCTTATCATGCAGTCCTATAGTTGTCAAATCTTGTTATTGCTCATGGTATTATCCAATGTTTTAGTAAGCCTTTTACTTTGTTAATTTACTTTGTGCTGTCCTGCTAGTTTACAGTCAAAGTAGCTGCCAGGTGAAGCTGAAAGCTATTATTTCTTATTCCTATGCTGACTAATTAGTCTTTTGTTTCCCTGTATCAGAAAGTCACAGACGCAGTGAGTTTAAAGCTAATCAATTACTATACATGTATTGCATGAAATCAACCAGAAAACGGCATTCAGCATGCTCACTTTCTGATCTAGTAATAGCTCTGAGCTTGTAGAGCTCCCATTAGCTTAAAGGCAGAGCACTGCATGGGCTTACACAAATTTAAAGTGAACTAACTCGTATTTTCTCTAAACAAATAACAGCAATAATTAAATTGGGCATTTCAGCACTTGACCATGCAGAACTCCTGCTGAAGTCAATGGGAGATGGGCACTTGGTCCCTCCACAAGCATAGTCTGATGCACTATTTATTTTGTTGAAACTTTGGACTTGCTGTTCCATTAATTGACTGTTCTCTTTGTCTTTGTATTTACTTTCCCAGATGTTCCAGCCTATCATTTTACTTATTCTCATCCTTGTATTATTTTCATCCCTTTCATACACAACAATATTTAAACTTGTCTTCCTTTTTACACTGTTTTTTGTACTGTAAGCCATTCATCATTTACTGTTCATTGTAGTATTATTTTCAGTTTGGTTTTTTTTGTCCACCCTCCAAGATAAGAAGTGCAAGAGACATAGTTTCTGTACTAGCCACTGCTGTAAAAACACTGAAGACTACTTGTTTGCCAAAATCAAAATCAAAAAACCTGCTAAAAACATACCAAAAAGTCACCCAGTTGAATAGGAAGTCCGCTCACCATGGTGTTCCAGGTAAGTAAACAGAAAATGATATTTTTCACTTCATCTGGTTTTATCATTTTTGAATAAAGATTTCCTGAGTGACTGGAACCAGTTTAATATTCATTAATTTGCACCAAATCAGAAGCAAAACAGATATATGCAGAGTGGGTGTGAGGAGTCTGTTGCTTTCTTCTTCCCACTCCCAGAAAAAGATTTGTGTTCTAGCCACATATGAATAGTAAGACCACATTTGATGTATATTCTGCAATTGTTTGTCACAGCTTGTATGTATTTTGCATGATTGTGATGATAATGTTTTTCAGCACTGTATTATGTGGATTAGACACCACGGAGGGGACAAAATCAGAATGGCTGGTAGATAGAGCACTGTATGTGGAAATGTGGCAAGGAGCTGGAGCCCCTGAGAATGAGATTCACGAGGAGGAGGTATCAGAGTAGGCGAGGAGTCTTCCTAGAGATGTAGGCTGGCTGCATTCTCTCTGGGCTCTAGAAAAATGGCCACGCTACAGTCTGACTTGAACCGAAGAGAGCGACGCTAGTCACCTTGCCTGATGTCAAATATCTTTTCCTACTGACTTAGTTTATCAGGTAACGTTTTCCAGCCTGTAGCCACCAGGGCTCTGGATTGTCTCTCCAGGTTTCAGACTGAGTTTTGAATAAACGTGGTAACTCTTGGCTTGCTGAGTGACCCCCGTCTAACCATGCTGTTGGTAGAGAGTGACCATAGGTCAGGGAAGCTTGTGTACACGGATGTGGATCAGCAGTCACTGAGTATTCCTGTCTCACCTATGAGAGGCTGCACGGAGAGTACAGGTGACTCACACTGAAGATAGCCAGTTCCTACAACCAGTAGATCTCCCACTATGAAAACCTCATCTGAAATGCCCAGTGAAGCTCAGTTTTCTTTTCTGTTTTATTCAACCTATGCTGAAACTACAAAGTCCCACAGATGTGAATTCTCCAAAGGTGATCATTTACAGGTAAGTGTATTAATGAAATTTTTTGTGCAGGTGCCGTGATAAAAAAATCTAGTAATAAATAGTGGTAATAAATAAAGCAGCTGTTTTTCTAGCAGGTAAAAAGGATTCCCTTTGACTTATCATGCTAGCACTCTGTTCACTTAACCCATTCCCCAGTGAGAACAGTTCATCTCTGTGCCTGGGTTGTGCTCTGCTACCTGAAATAGTAGAGAGACACCATTTTGGGGGAAACTCCTCAGAGGGAAGCAGAGATTGGGCAATAAAATTTGTTTTACCAGAACGTAAAAAGCAGTAAACTAACGATATTTGTATTAAACAAAGCTTGTGTTTTTCTCCTTGTTTGTCTCGCTTTCCCTCAGCATACTCTGCAGGTGTAGGAACCTTGATCAGTTAAATTACTTAACCTTAGTTTAATCCAAATACTTATTCCTACCAGGGGATGTTGTTGTCATTATTTATGTTGTAGTTAGCAAGATATGTCTAAAGGAAATGATAATCAATATATATGAGATTAAGAGACAGCCTTGCTGGTGTTCTGATTAAAGAGAAAGTCAGGCCCAAAGTCATTTTGGGGAGGTTCGAAGTGGCTCTAATTTATGCTCAGTTGCCTAAAAGTTAAGTTCCACGTATTAGAAACTATTATGGCAAGATATGGTCAAGCATATCATCGCTTCACAGAGAATTTCTGTAACTGTAAAGATAGTTCTTAAATCACTGGCAAAGGGCCCTTTTGTTGCTCTTGTCTCAGCAACTGCTGTAAGAAATTTTCCAGCAACTACTTGACAAATGAGAAATTCTTTTTTTTTTGTTTTCTTCCCTCATGTATTTGCAATTTGGACATTAGAAGTACAAAAGTATAATAATTGGAGACTTAAACTTGTCGTACCAAATCTTAGCACGAGCCTGACTTCTTGCTTTTCTTTCTGTTTTAGTGCCTCCCTTGGGGGAAGAGAAGATCATTTGGGTTTTGTTATGTTACTGGCTGAATTCCATAAAAGAGAAAAAATCATACTTAAATCAGATCTGAAGTTCTGGACTTTCAGATTTTAACCCACACTTGTTTATACCTTTCTCAGGCTTGTACAGACGAGTATAGAGGGTTTGACTGGCACTGAGTGTATCAGTAACAGTACTACTGTAAAGTAGTAGAAAAGTTTAATACACTGAATTCATACATTGAATACATCTTGGAAGTAATTGGGAAAGATTTGCTTCTTTCTCAGAAATCTGAAAAAGTGAGGATGAACTTCTTGAGTCAAAAGGTGAAGATAACCTTTGCACAGGATTGGCAATTGTAACCCCACTGATTTCTCAGTATTTTTTTTTGCCTATAGCTGGAGCTTTCCTCAGCCGAATTCTGTCAGACATCAACAAAGCAAGTCAAAACTTAGACCTTTAGGGACATTTGGGGAGCTATTGCACAGGCTACAATCTGAAATCAAAGCATACCAAAGCATACAAAATCATTTTAGAATCTCTCTGCAGTCTTTGAATCAGTGAGGAGCAAGGACAGCGGTGAGGACCCCTGCAAACCTCAGTGCAGAGAAATCTCAGTGAGAAATGAGATGCGTTTTTCATGTCCTTCTGCATTCAGCTTGAAGGGAGTGATTGGAGCCACTTACCTGTTTCGTGCCACATATTGCAGAGAAGCTCACAACCCTCCGCTTGTCGCTGTTTTAAAAGCTGCTGAGAAAGCTAATAAAATCAGTATGGACATCTATCCATAGCCAGAAGATAACATCTAGCCAAATAAATAAGTGTTCTGTGTCTTGCTAAATTGAAGTAACTTGGTCTCACAAAGAAATGCAATAAATATTCTTGCCAAGCAAGGAAGCAGATTGTCCACACTCAGTTACTGGGCTGGTGGGCAAAGTCCACCTCACAGGTGAGTGAGTAAATGCAGCTGAACACGTCCACATCCTCTAGCAGGAGTGCGTGGGAGGCAGGCAGGGCAGAGCCAGGCAGAACACTGCTGATTCACGAGATTCTGTCTGCCGCATCGCATCTAATTCTGAAGAGCGATAATAATAATAAGATTTTGCTTTTATGTGCCAGCAAGCTGTATATACCAGCTTACCTATCAGTTCAAATCTCAATTATACCGATAGCAGATTCACAGTTCTCATCTTGGAATATTGTGGTGAAATGTTAATATTCTGGCAAAAACGTCATTGGATTTGAACCCTGAGATTGCATTAATTTTACATTTCTCTGAAAGATTACATTTCTGTTTCCTCTATTCCCAGGGAATTCATTCCATGTTCTGTCAGAAAGAACAAATCTTACATCTGTAGATCTAATTCTGACAGTTTTGCACTTGTGTAAATTGGGAGTAACTCAATGATTTTTATGTCATTTAGAAAACAGATCCATTTTTTCCTTTCATGCAACCAGATAAATTCAATTAAATTTATTTCCTATTTAGAGTTGGCTCTGAATGCCCTTAGAAAACACCTTTATAAATATTTTCTCTATTGTTACTGAAAAATTCTCGTGATACTAGAATGATTGTCTTCTACAGGATCAGAGATACTTCCTTCAACCAAAAATATCCATGCCTGAAGCTCCAGTTAGAGACAGAATAAGTGTCTGCTGACACATGTCACCAGTGCTTCAGAATCAAAACCAGAAGAGAGCAGGTGCTATAGTGCAGAAATATGCCTGGCAGTCGGAAAATAGAAAATTGCCAAAAACATGGCTGTCTGAATATGTGTTATTAAAAGAGATGAACTGCACATGAACTTTGGAAGTTATTTACAAAAACAAGCAGAGCTTGAGGGTATTAGATGCCCTTCCCCTTAATCACCCCAGAATTTGATAGGTGAGTAGGAGACTTCTAGAGGCTACAGTATCAGGGATGTAATTCCCATTGGCTTACATTTCTGTCTCTGATTTAATGCCAGGGGAAGTGATATTCAAACCCAACTTTTGCCATTACACATGCAGTTGCCTATGGGGAAAATTACAGTGGCTCTATTTAAAGTGAACATCTAAAGTATCTGCCACCGATTTCCAGTGTAACCTTGGAGAACTGACATGACATAACACTTTGTTGGCTCTGTTTCTCCCCCAAGTTATATATTATTGCAGAAGTGCATGACACCAAGAGGAGACAGAATTTGTATTCCCTTCTGCCCGTCCTGATCTGTATATCCATTCCTGAAATGTATTTGCTGGGATTATTGAGGTTTAAAAAGTAACATCATTCAGGAATCTGGTGTTGTGGCTGGGTTGATGACAGTGGCAGCAGTGCTGTTCATCCTTCTTGTTACCAAATTTATGTGGACATAGCAAAACGAGCATGCCGTAACCAAGCTAGTACAGCAGAACTGATGATGGTCTGAAATGACCTTGAACCCAGACTATTAACCAGAGTACACGCTACCCTGAGTACGTACTCAGATTATAGCCCATGCTGAAATTCACGCTCCTTTGTCTTCAGTCTTGCATGATGAAGAGGAATTTAGCAGAGGGCTTGTTTAAAATGCCCTTGCACCTGTTTTTGTTGAGGTGCTGACTTTTAACACAGAGCTGATACCAGGTATGGACAAAGTACGCTTTGCCTGTGGAAGCAGCGTGTCAGATGTACTAAAATAAACCTGCCATAACCTTCCTGCTTATTTTGCATGTGCCAGAGGCCAGAAAGCCCCATTTGCTGCTTTGTCTGCTGCTGTTGGGGGGAGGGACAGTCTCTGCTGCATAACTTTCCCCAAAATCAGAAGTCACTCTGCTACACTTTAGGGTGTCAGGAGCAATGAGTCCAGGTTTTTAGAGCTTGCTTTGTATTTTTTTGTCCCAGCTTTGCTCTGCCTTTCCCATATTAGGACAGGTGTAACATGGCCCTGTGACCTGTGAGTGGGTCCAGCTCTTGTCTCCTAACGAGCCCCTCAGTCTCACACATTTGTAATTCCTCACACTGACAGCAACGTAGGATTTTGCCTGAGTGAAAACTCAGGTCTGGGAT